AGAATATAATGTAATATTTTTAAAAAAGTATATGTTAAATGCCTATGGTAAATTTTATTAGGCATTATACTATTGTTGTCCCATCACTTAAGGTTTAATTATTTTCACAGAGATTTTTTTTTTCTCAACATCTAAACAAATGTTTGTAGATAACCTTGATACCATGTGGGAAGTTCCAGTTTTCACTACTTTTAATACACGATAGACCCTAAAACATAATCTAAGACCTCAAAATCACTGAAGTTAGTTTAGTTTCAAGGTGAGGGCTATATAAATGTTTGATTTTCAAGAAGAGGAAAACAGTACATCTAAATCAAATGAGGACATGGATTCCTGCTCTGATGTTAGTTAACTTTAAGTCTTTTTGCTTCAAAATTCCCTAAGTTCCATTCAAAAAGAATAGGAAGAGAAAAAAAGTAGTTGAAAATTCAAATTACAAATGAATCTGTACTATTGTTTCTTCAGAAAAGTCAGCTATCAAAATAAATAATTTTTAAGTGACAATTGTTATTACTCTCATGGAAGACCAAAAGTTTCATCTTATTAGAAATAGTTTTGTCTTTTTTGGTTCATGAAAAGTTCTCAAAAAGTAGTAGGTGATCTTTCTTTGACCAAATCATAATGTATTCATTATTCATTTTTATAACAGTAATTTAGAAACATTGTGTGTAGGAGGCTAAGAACATCCTTTTTTTTTTTTTTAAGCAGAGTGAATATTTTAAATCACTCAGTATGGTATTCCTATTTAACCCTTTTTATTAGGAAAATGACAAATACATACAACTGGGGTATTTCTATGAATTTCTTGTTTCTTCACTCTGATTATTATAAAAACCCCAATTAGGTAAGTTATTTTAATCAATTTCCCAATTTGCAACTTTCTCTTGTCACTGACTTACCCATCTTATACATATTCAAAGAGTTAAATGTTTCTTTTCCAAAAATAGATTAGAAAACTGAGTTAAACATGACCACACATATCAATATTCTATAAATCAGATTAAACTTATCAAAAATTTCCTATAGAAAGAAAAACATTTCAATTATATTTCTTCTGGTGAAAACAAAATGCTTTAGAAAAGAAAACTGCTGGGAAATTAAGACTTTTTGTTTTTTTAATAGCAGAAAGAGTCCCCCTAATCAGTCAGACATACTATTATTAAATATCTCTTCTGACTGTATCAGAACAAACAAAATATTCGGGAAGCATTACTTAAAATCCCCATAAAGTATGGCTATCAGTATTTTTAAATTCTTAATAATTTTGCCCTACCTTCTAATATTTACATACTAAATAGTACTTATTATAAAGGCTCAGATCTCTTTCTTGATAGTTTATGACTGAAAAACTAAGATTCTGAATAAGTTGTCAACAGCTAAACAAAGATAGCACTACCATTCTGGCTCCAAACAATTTTCTTCAGCGCACACATAATTCTCAAATTTGACAACTGAAAATAGTAGGCAGTATTAAGTTCTAAAACACGCAACAAACTAGGTACTGTATCTTGGATTGCAAGAATTTAAAAAATGAACACTTTCCATTTTCTGTTGACTACAGTCAATAGGCAATAAACAGTTATACTTCTTAGTTTTTCTTTATGACTGATGGGAGATAAGATTAAAAATATAAATTTTCTCTAAGAACACAGAAGCCTTGGAGTTTGAGACTTATTCAACCCCTTCCATAAGATGGAAGGACATTTCATTCAAATACAATTCTAAAGCAAAATATGAAAACAATGAAAAAATTAAAAATAAACAATCTGATTATGTAAGCTCACTTTAACCTGAAGAATCAACATGACACTTCAATAGAGCACCTACCTTTTTATTCCATCACTATCACCACAAGCTAAATCACCTTCTCACCAGAGACTAAAATCCCACTAGCATCTGCCAATTCCACTTGGAATCACACACTGAATAAGCTAGCTGTCAGCTCAGTGTTCTTTCACTTAAGCACCTCATAATGAGTGTGGGTGGGACAGTGTTACGCAAAATAGATAAACACTACATAATTCTAGATTCTATTGGCTGAAATAAGAGTTCACTTCTCCCTTACCTCCTCCCTAAGGAAGCCTGTGGCCTAAAAGGGAAAAACGGAAGGGAGATGAAACATGGTATAATTTTTAACACAGGCTTAATATCAAGTTATGGAATAAAGTACTTCAAAGGAAGAGCATTCTGTTTCTTAAAAGACTGCCTGAATTAACTATATAAATGTCAGAAATGTAACTAAGATAGTGAACTACCCTTTCATGACAAGAAAGCCTATTTTTATCAGATTTAGTATAATACTCTCTGTAAAAACAAAATCAATACAATTTATATGTAAAGAAAGAGTAAGTACCCTTCTAGTAATACTGAGGAAATTGATTTTTTGGGTCTGGTCATAAAATACTGTAATTTTCATGCATAATAATAGATGAACATTTCACCTCATTTTTAATTGATTATGCTTATTTCTATCTTCATACTTTGAAATAAATTAGGGCTAGGGATGTTGTTCAGCAGCACTTGCCTAGTATGTGTATGGCCAAGTTGTACAGCAATAACAACAAAAATAAAAAATAAATTAGATTCATTTGGTGCTCATGAACATGGAGAAACTACAGCAGTACCTAAATTGGGATTAGAAAAAATTTCATCAAACAGTGACTAATGGCATCTGATTTTAGAGTTTGCTGCTCTCAGAATACCACACTTGTAAGTTATTTCCCCATACAATTTTTAGGAAAAAAATTTAATTTTTGTGACATTGGAGTTTGAACTCAGGGCCTCACGCTTGCTAGGCAGGCGCTCTTACCACTTGAGCCACTCCGCCAGCCAAGAAATGTTTTCTTATGGGAACTGGTTGTGCAGTGAACTATTGCATTCCTCTAGAGCCCACTGTGTTTAACTACATTTAAGGTGTTTGTTTTTTTTGGGGGGGGGTGCCAGGGTATCACTATACAGCCTAGATTTGCCTTGTGCTCCCCCTATCTTTCTGCCTCAGCCTAGAGATTACGTATGTGCACTACCACCACACTTAAGGGTTTTTTTAAGAATGCTAAAATTAAGTCATAAGAGCAAAATGCTGGTTCACACTTATTCAATAGACTCCACATGCAAATTCTCTATATAACCTACCTGTGAAACTCAAATTCAGTTTGAGTCTAGGTACTTGATATTCTCTTATTAAAGTTCATTAGTGTCGGGCACGGGTGGTTCACACCTATAATCCTAGCTATTTAGGAGGCAGAATCGAGGTCTGAAGTCAAACTGAGCAAATAATTTGCGAGACCCTATCTTCTCAAAAAAAATAAAATAAAACCATCACAAAATAGGGCTTGTGGACTGTCTCAAGGTGTAGGCCCTGAGTTCAAACTCCAGCACCATAAAAAAAAGTTCATTAGTAGCCTCCAAGTGTTCAACTCTATTATAAAAAAAAAAGACTAAGTAAAAAGTATAATAAATGCTCTATCAGAGCCTTAAAACTGATATTGATGCCCACAATTCACAGCCCCCTATGTAAATGACTAGATAATCTGAAACTTAATTCAATTACACTATACTGAATAATACCATTGCTAATAATATCTGACTGGAAAATCAGTAAAGCCCTTGGTGATCTTAATTAGAATTGAAGTTCCACCTACAAATACACTGTATCTTTTTAAAAAGAATAATAAAAAAAATACTTTTGGTAGCTCTAAGTTTATCTGCAAAGCTTTCTCACAATGTGCCCACAGGACAACAGCTGATTCAGCTGGGCTATCATTTTTAAAAGGACATCATAATAATAGTATCTTGTCATTAATAATGTCTTGGCACAAAATGAACCACCCTTTCCTATAGTTGGCAAGTTTACTTCTATTGTTCCCTGCATTCCAAAACTGTGTCACAAGCCCTGAAGCTGTTCTTCATTAAATCTGTATAACATTTTTTTTGTTGTTGCTGTTCCTTCTGCTGGCAGCAGGCCCACTTGGATGTTATAGTGAAAAAAATATACTCAGGCATCCTGTGTCCAGCGAAGATACACGTCCAGAAAAAAATTACCTACAAAGATGATTTGGGTATATTCTATGATCTTGCTATCTGGTGACCCTGCCTTGTCATGTGATTCTGGGCTGATGAAATTCCTCAAGAAGCCGGACATGACAGGTTCAATACTCATACCAAATAGAATGTAGCTGTGGCTGTCTATCCCTTAAACTTCATTCCATAACAAAATATGAGGACCTGCCACTCTTTTGGACCAACATACCAAACTTTCTTAATTTTGGAAGTATATTTCTTGCTGAACCCTAGGGCCTGTGATAGATTATCATTCTTACCTTAATGAATAAAAATAGAGCATTAAGCAGATTTAAAAAAAGTTCCCTATTTCAAGCTCTGTTTATATTAAATAATCTCAGGAAATACATTTTTCTTAAAGAATTCTAAGAGGACATTAAAGAAGCTCTAAGAAGACAAAAACTCTATATATTCTAAGTGATTATGATGAGATATTTTTATAATAGGACAAAGGCAAAGAAAGGTTAGAACTAAATTTCTACACTTTCTTTCCCAGTCTGAATTCTAACTACTTAGAAAACAAACTTTCTTTTTGCTTCTAACATGTGCTTTCATTTACAATGATGCTTGATTAATAACGTTTGATCATGGAGGCCAAATACAAAAATAAAATAAAACAAAAACTTTAAATAGCTTTCTTGGCTGGTGGGAATCAGTTACCAAACTCTGTTAACAGATCTGAGTCTCAATGACCTTGCCATATGCTTACATATTGGCTTGGCTTACTGGTGTCTTAAACTTCTTTATCTCTTTGATGGACCTGTGGCAATTATTACAGTTGAGCTCAGGGACCAAGGATAAAGTTTCAGTACCCTAAAACTTTAAAAAAATCACCCCCCACCACCACCAAATTAACCAAAACAAAGCACACTTACCTCACAATTTCTAAGCCCTTTCAGGTATTTCTGTTCTTATAATCCTATTTTTCTTATTTGTTGTAGGCTAGGCTTTGGTACCACCTTTGGACACAAATGACCTCTGAAGAGCTGCTTCTTCTCTAATGATCTCTGAATACTTCCAAGGATGCACCAAGGACTCATTACCTTTAGCCACACCCTCAGCAGGTGTGTAAATTATTTCTTCCTTCATTCCCATCTTACTGGTGATGCTTATGTCATGTTCCTCTAACCCACAACAGAATTCACTTAGATAGCATTTGCTTTTCTAATGTACATTTTTTAATGAGTATCTGCATGTGTCCAGCTTATTTGTCAACTCTATTTTACTCCAATCTGTTTCAGAAAACATACTTTGTCAAGGCGCAATTTTTTTCCCAGTTAAGGCCAAGAGGAAAAAAAAAATCACTGGTGTTCCTGTACATATAATCATATTTTAAAGCTCAAAGAACCTTCTAGAATAAACTGCTTAATCTGTTCATTTTCCTTTCAATTCTCTTTATTTTGTAGATGAGAAAAATCTATATCCAGAGATGGTAAGTTAATTTATGAAGGTCATGGAACTAAGTAGTAAAGCTAGTAAACACATCTTTTGACTCCTATGTTAGAGCTTGTTTAATTAGTTTTGGAGGTGACATCCCAAGCATAAGAACACAAGTAACTCACCCCTTGCACTGTGGAGGTATTATAAGATGGGGTGGTGAAATGTTCATCTTTCATGCTATTGCTTGTTATATGTTGGAATAATTTTATATCATAAAGAGAAAACTTAAAATTAGACAAATGAAAGTTTGATGACAGGTAGGTCATGGAGACTTGTTTCTTTTTGCACACCAGATGGAGCATGCCTCCCTAAATTGGGCTGTTTACACTCCCATTTGTTGGCTCTGCTCACCTGCTCTCCTTAAACAAAAGAAGCATAGGTATCAAAAGTACTGCCATAGTTAAACCACAGAATGGGCCAAAGTATCATCAAATCATATATCTGGTGAAGGACTTGTATTCTGGACTATATAAACAAACTTTTATGTTTCAATAATAAAAATATAAGCAACCCACTAAGGTTGACCAGGAGTTGTCAGTATAAACAACAACTGGTAAAGATCAAAACATTTATTTCTCCAAAAAACATACAGATAGTCAATAAAATACATGAAAAGTTATTCAATATCATTAGCCATTGTGGTAATACAAATCAAAACCACAGTAAGATGCCATTTCATTCCACTAAGATAGCTATACTAAAGCAGTGTGTATGATCAATACTGGCAAGGATATAGAAAAGTTGGAATCTTTAATTACTGCTAGTAGAAAAGTAAAATGGTACAGTCACCTTGGAAAACAGTCTGGCAGTTCCTCAAGATTAAACATAAAGTTGTCATATGACTCAATTCCTAGGCATAAACCCAAAGAAAAATGAAAACCTAAGATACAAACTGCATCAATGTTCACAGCAGCATTACTCATAACAGCCAAACTAAGGAAATAGCCCCAATGTCCATCAACTGATGAATGGATAAAACAAAATGTGGTTATTGCAATATTAATTGGCAATAAAAAGGAATACATTAATGATATATGCTACAACACAGACAAACCTTGTTAACATTTTGCTAAGTGAAAGAAGTTCAGTCACAAAGAACAACATATTTTTTGTATGATTTCATTTATAGGAAATATCCAGAACAGGCAAATCCAGAAACAGAAAGTGGACTAGTGGTTGTCTCTGTATGAAAACTGGTTGAGAGGTGATGGCTAAAGAGTATAGGGTTTATTTTTTAGATGATGAAGAGTTCTAAAATGGGTTGTGATGATGGTTGAACAATTCTGTGGCTATACTAAAGCCAATGAGATGAACACTTTGAATAAACTTCATGATATATAAATTATACCTCAATAAAGCTGTTAAATAAGCAAACAAATAAAGCACTAGAACATTCAACAATCTACAGTAACTCAAGGATCACTGGATGCTGGCATACATCTGGAATTCAAATACTAATCTTATACAACTTTAGAACTTAAATAATTTCTTCTAAATTCTAGGTATTATTAACTCCTACTTCTTCTTGAGTCAAAGAAACTGACTCTAATCACATGAGCATTCTATAAGAAAGGTAAATTTTCGCAGAGCTGGACTTTTCTAAACCAACTTCTTTTTGCCTTAAAAACCACAAAATTCACAATTAGGCTTGGAATTTTTTTTATCTCATATTCTGTTTCAGTCTAGCTTTCATTGTAGGTATGGCTTTTGCTTTGCTTTTGCTGTTGTTGTTGTTAATGTTTTTGCTGACATCTTATATCAGTTTCAATGAAAGCAACCAAAGAGTGTTTTCTCTGACATCAACCAATTCTCCAACTCTCTGATAATAACTGACCATCTAACAAATTGTTTAATTATACCCATAGCGTCAGATCCCACAAGTTAAAGGGCTCACACTCTCAACTGTCTCCAATTCAGACACCAATCAAATGTCCCACACTACCTGTACTTCTGACCTCCAGCTATAAATTGAGGGGTTCCCACAATCCTCTTTGGGAGGATCCTTCTTTGGGATCCACAGTTCCTTGGGTTATCTATATAACTTATAGAAAAACCCAAAAAAGGGCCAGGAGTGATGGTGCAGGCCTGTAATCAAAGCTACTTGGAAAGCCAACATTGGGAGGATTGCAGTTCAAGGCCAATTCAGGCAAAAAGTTAGCAAGATCCCATCTCAACCAACAAGATATACATGGTGGTACCTGGTTATGGTCACAGTTATGCGTAAGGATCACTGTCTGAGGCCAGCCACAGGCAAAAATGTGAGACCCTATCTGAAACGTAATTAAAGAAGGGTTGGAGGCGTGGCCTAAGTGGTAGAGTGCCTGCCTAGCAGGTATAAGACCTGACTTCAAACCCTAGTACCACCAAAATGGAAAAAAACTGCATTTAAATTTCCTGGTTTATTACAAAGGATACAACTCAAGAGTCAGGTGCCATGGCTACTTGGTAGGCTGAGGTGGGATGATAGCTTGGGCCCAGGAATTTGAGACCAGCCACAGCAACACCATGTCTCAAAAACAACAGCCAACAACAAAAGAATACAACTCAGGAACAGTCAAATGGAAAAGATATAAACAGCAAGGTATTTGGGGGTGGGGGTATGTGGTAGAAATTTCATGCCCTCTCCAAGTGTACCCACCCTACCAGGGCCTAAATATGTTCACCAATCCAAATGCTCAAATTCCAGCCCCTGCCCTTTTCCTGGGAATCAGAAGGTAGAGCTGAAGGTTACAACCTTCTAGTCATTTAGTCCTTCTGAGGTTATCTAAGGGTCCCCATCTAAGTTACCCCAAGAGCATAAAATCAAGTATGAGCTGAAAGGGTCTCATATTATGAATAACAAAAGACACACCTATCATTCAGGAGATTCCAAGGATTTTAGGACCTCTAGGTTAGGAACCTGCATGGCATAAACATTAAACAGATTTTTGTATTATACTAATAGCAATAGTATCAAATTAAGTCAAATATTCAAATAAATTGCTCAGTATAAACCCAGGGCCAATGTAATTTGACTTGACAACAAAGATATTAACAGATCTCATATTTAATCCAAAGGCTGGTGTTTAATATAAACACCTGCTCTCTTAACTGGTTACCTAGCCTGCCAATTTACCTAGCTAAATAGTTCTATTTGGCTAAACAGCAAAATCAAAATTCACTAAAAACTATTTCTAGGTTACCAGATGACATTCCTCCACCACTAGAATGTAACAGCTACCTTTTTTTCTAATGTTTCAAGTTAGTACTTTACATTTAATGCTCATTAATGATTTCTATTGACAAATGTGGGCTTCTCTTTAGCATTTAAATTAGGTGTTGGAGGAGTTTCCAAATTCAGGGATGTGTTTTCCCTACTCTTAATTTTGTGCATCTAGACTCATCAATAAATAATGCAATTACTAACCCAATAAATATTACTGAGCATTCACTACAAAGTAAGAAGTTATAGAACTATTCAAACTAATGCAAAAGATTTGATTTCAGTAAGTACTACATGATTTCAAGGAAAAATTTAGGTGAAAGAGGATCTAGGGAAAGTTTCATAGAAAGAAAGGTATTTGAATTGGACTGGGAGACTAAATTTTGATGAGTGTTGAAAAGCATTTCAGGTGGCAGAAACAACTGCCTCCAGATTAAAAAAAGAAAAGGAAAGGGAAAAAACATCTACCTTGTATGCTCAAGGAAGGGCAAATCAGTAGATTACCTGGAGCGATGAGTTTAGTTAGACTAACAAAGACAAAGTATATAGAAATCAAGGACTATGTCTTTGTAAGCTTTGTAAGGTTAGCAGCAAGCATGGAAAAAATGTTTTAAAAATCCAGTGAGATTCAGTTGGAAAGTTTTGTAAGTGCCTGATACAGTGGACCTTAAGAATTAGGACACAGAGCTGGTGTAGTGGCTCAAGTGGTAGAGCAACTTTCTAGCAAGTGTGAGGCCCTGAGTTCAAACCCAGTTCCTCAAACAAAACAAAATAGAACAGAACAAACATGTATATAGTAGATGTATGTTAAATCCAATCTTTACAACTGTCCTATGGCACACGAGGAAATCAGGATAAATAATTTGGTCAAGGTCGAGAACAATGATTCATGCCTGTAATCCCAGCTATGTGGGAGGGGAAGATCTAGAGGAACTCAGGAGAATCATGGCTTGTGGCCAGCTAAGTGTGGTACACCACCTGTGCTCCTAGCTATGCAGGAGGCACAGGTAAGAGGATGGAGGTCCAGGCCTTCCAGGAGACCCTACCTAAAAAGTAAAGCAAAAAGTGCTGGGGTGTGGATCAAATGCAGAGTGACGGCCTAGCAAGTACAAGACCCTTAGTTCAAACCCCACTGCTGAAAAAAAAAAAAATATATACACACACACACACACACACAGACATATGTATATATATTTCTGCTTTTAAACTAAGTGATCAAATTTGCAAATGTACTTCTAAAAATACTATATACATTTTAATTGCTATCAACATTTCTTTCTCCCCCACCCCAACCCTATAGAAAAAATTTTTCCCTTATGAGATCTCAAAGATTTCCTAAAAATTCACATTTCTAACCAGAGTTAAAGACCGGATTGAACTAATGTTTCATCCATAGTGAGTTTTAAAAATTCTTTTGTGTCTATTGTCATCTAATCGTTGGTCCAAATTATGCCTCCTTGCTTTTCCTGGAGTTTTACTATTGAGTATATGATAGTCTGTTTAAATTTCTATACACATCTCTGAATTTCATACAGCTGAATTTCATACAGCTTACAATTCTCAGGTTATCTCCTAATAGTTTCATCTATTAACATTTCTCAAACCATTAGGTTTTATGTATATTAACATTATTTTTCATAACAGAAATAGGAACAAGATCCTAATTGACATACTGCCCCTCCTTTTTGAAGAAAAGAGATGCTGAATATAAAGCTGGCTGATATTTGGATCTGTAAGATTTTTTTTAACCTATTATCAAAGTATTTGGTCTATCACCCTCACTAGAGTCTCTGAGCCAAGTATCTACAAGGACAAATAGCAAAGCTTCCTATTCATTCCAGTGAAATCAATTAGGTTATTCACACATTTATTGAACACTTGCCAGAGCTTCTCCTTTTTTGGTATCAATAAAAAGCAATCTTATAATAAAGGTTATTTTGTTTTGAAAAAAGCCAGGGTTCTCAAATTCCCTATATTACTTTGCAACTCTTGCTTCCCTTGCTTTCCACATTGTGTGGGTGGAAGAAAGAAACCAAGACATTCGGAACAAAATGTGAAGTCAAGGGAAATTTTTAGATAGCAATAAACTGTGAAACTCACTTAAACTTACAGTCGGAATAATCTTTTGTAGAGAAACATAAATGGATGCATGTTAATATACTCCTGGTGTTCCACAACATAATAGGCTCAGAATGCCATAAATTTAGAGCTCTTACTTGTTTAAACTAATGGGGCTCTTTTTCCATATAACTCAATAAAGTACAATTAAAACCATATTCAAATAGGTTTTGTCAAATTGTTTTTCTTAGTAACTCCTAAAAAAGATTTTAT